TGAGGCCGGCTAGATCAGGCATGATCACAGCCGTAACAAGTACAAGTACAGCTCGACTACGACCACTGCCCCCGCTATGTGGGTGGTCGTTTCGTTTGCTCGGCTCGCGGTGTGAGCGTGGGCGGCTGGTATGAGTGCGTGACGTACTCCAGACGGCTTAACTGTGGCATGACTTAGCTGGTCTGACTTTTTCGCCGACTGCCGTGAATGCATGGAGAGTCCCGCATCCGTAAAATCTTATTACCCTCCTCCTTCCTATTCAAACACTCCGTTTGTAGTAAAATAAGTAGCATTTAATTGCAACAGGTATGGCAGAGAGTATATCTAGTCCAATTAGAACGACAAATGTTCGAGAGCGCAGCGATGCCAGGCAAAAAATCTAATGAACTCGAGACATTACCCTTTCTGTCTGCTGGGGATGATCCCCAAAGGTCCAAGTATTATGTTTAGCGAATGGGGAAGCAAGTTTTATACCGCAAAACAGCATTGAATTCATAGGTTATTGTGACATATAACGCGATTAAATCGTTTAAGTTGTCTTGCAAATTTCTGCGAGGTTTTGGCAGCAGTTACAAAACTCGGGGCCATGCCATATAAAGCATTTGGTCGGAACGCTCGGGCACATTTAAAAACTGAGCTTAAATGGTCCTCATCACTGCACTCTGCATACCCTTGAACCGCACCGGACGAAGATAACAGACTATGAACAAGAAATTGTTTTAAACTAGACCGTAGCCATTTCCGTACGCGCCTACGTCTACCTCCCGAAAGAGAGGCTTGACAATCGAGGCCCAGTCAATGGTTGCAATGCATGGTGCCGACAATGGCAACGTGGATTGCTCTGGCAAGTCTTTCTTCAGGCCGTGTTTTGCTGGAGAGACAAGACCTTCGAAAACAAACGCAATATTTTTCTACCGGGAGTTCGCCCTTGTTATGGGCTTTTGTCTAGATATCTCCAACCGCTTCACCGGATTGATAGATGACAGCTACCGTGCGTCGACTGCAGTCGAAAAGAACTGGCCTGAACTTAAGCCCATCCGCTATGTTATTTCGTATAGTGTGTTAAACCACGACATTAATAGCCGCAGAAAGAAGGTATACGGTAAAAGGACCAAACCGATGTGTCGGCGTAGGGACAGTGGGTCATCAGGGTCACCCGGGCTTCAGGGATCTGTCGAGGGACAAGCATTCGGGATGGCGTGAACGAAACATATTCTGGAGCTAAGCGACCCAAAATGAGGAAAACGTCCCAAAGAATGGTGGTATCAGGAGGCCGTACAGGGTAAGATGGGGAAAAATATATAAACTGTTTACCTCAGGGTACGGACAACCGAGATAAGAGAAGAATGCTGCAGTCGGCGATACTATAATTTACGGAGCACTTTGTCCAGTTTATGAACCCAGCAGGTGAAGTTTACTTTGCCTTCCTTGCACTCAAAAACTTCTCAAAGCTTAACGTTAGATTATATTCGCAAATTTGACAACGAAACGAAAATTAAAAAAGCACCTGATGTGAACTGCTTTCCAGCAACGTTTGCTAATGCTGTATGATATAATTAGTTGACACAACAGATTACAATTCGATCCTAGTGTTGGTAGTGGAGATTGGATCTACAGACTAGAACGACACCGAAATTACGCTTGTTGTCAAGAAAGGCCAGAGATCATTGTGCAAAAACGATCATGCCCAGATTTTTAACTAGTCGCTAGTCGGCACTGACACTCCCTATTCGTATTCGCTTACACTACGGGACGCTGGCGTTGCCAAGAGGCACAGCTGACGAAGGGCAATGAAGTAATTCTTAATTAAGCTTGTTAATAATATACAAAGCGGAATTTGGCGTTATGTCGCATAAACAGCATACTGGAGCAAATAATCGAAAATTATTTGATAAACATTTGCAGCGACCGCCAATTATGGAAGCTTTTAATTAATATTCACATCATCAAAAACGTGAAAGGCCTTTGTGGTACAAGAGATATAATACCTGAAATGCGTGCACCACCTCTTGTGTTCCAGCCTCATTTTCCCTGAGTTGGCGATGTTTTTTCTGCAGCTCTTCCGAATACTTCTGCACATCCTTCATCAAGTTGAGCCGCTCGGCACACATCGAACCTTTTACTAGCACCATTTGGTCAAGAGTTTCAAGGATAATATTCCAACATGGCTTGAAACTGCCCACAGTTGCATAATTTGAAATTTGTTTGGACAGTTTAGCACACAATTTTCCATAGCTATCTTCTAAGGAATTAAGTTCACGCAAGAATTCATAGAAATCGTTTGTATTTTTTAGTCCTGATTTTAAATTTTGTATTAACGTTTCAAATCCTATGTTTTTCTCTCCCCAAAACGCGTGCGCAAACGTAACTTCGCACATCCCTACGCTTTGCAAGCGCTGACAGCTAATTGGCTGCCTTATAGTTTCAATGGAAACGCTCAATTAAAAGG